ATAGGCATGTCGCATGAACAGGCTCAACGCTCCACGATCAATGGCCGCGCGGAACGCAGGGTGTGCGCGCATAGCCTTGAGTTCGGATCCAAACAGGAAAGTCTCGCCCTGCCAGCCGTAATAGAGCGGTTTTTCACCCAGCCGGTCACGCCCCAGAATCAGTTTTTCAGACTGACAGTCCCATACCGCAAAGGCAAACATGCCGACCGCCATTCGGACGGTCGCCTCAATGCCCAGGACATCGAAGCCTGCGAGCAGGGTCTCGGTATCCGAATGTCCACGCCAGGGCAATGCACCCTGCCCGGAATCTTCAAGATGACGCCGGATATCGTTATGGTTGTAAATCTCGCCGTTGAAGACGATGACAAACCGTCCACTCGGCGATTTCATTGGCTGGCTGCCCGCCTCAGAAAGGTCAAGAATTGACAGGCGGCGGTGCCCCAGACCTATGCCGGTTGCGGCGTCATGCCAGTAGCCACTTGCGTCGGGACCCCGATAGCTGATCGCATCGGCCATACTTTTCAGTTGGCCGTCTGCGAACTCGGGTTGCACTAACGAAAGAAAGCCTGCCAATCCACACATTGAGTTTCCAACAGTCAGACCGCGCAGCTCGTTGCAACCGCCCTGACATCAAGGTTCATACCATCAAGCCATCCATGGCCTAGAAAAGAAACGATCAGGTCACCCCTTTTGCCGATCCATGATCGCCACTGTCCGCGCTTTCGACCCAGAAGGGCCGCATTCTTGCGAGTTGCAAAATGCCAGCCATTCCTATGCTCACAAAGATCATGGCAAAGGGGAAGCGCATGCGGTAAAGCGTGCCCACATTGGCCACGGTCAGCCCCAGCAACAGGCACAAGCCTGTCGCAAATGCCACGGGCAACAATAGCGAGACGCTCCAGCGACGGTAGCTGAAGAGCCAGTACAGAAGACCGAGGTAGGCGATGTAGCAATAAAACATCTCCACGGCCGAAATGTAGATCTCCACCGGGCTTGAATTACGCTTGTCGATAGACATCCATTTGGATGGGAAAGGTGCAAAAAAAGCAATCTGAAGGGCACGCGGGATGTAGCGGACCAGATCCTCGTTCTTGCAAAAGTTTATGCCCTTGTCGATATTGCTGGCTGCTGTTGTTCCGCCGGAGCTGGTAAAGCCTGCACGGGCAACGGCAATCTTGAGGAAAACACGATTGATGGTATTTTCAATAAACGCATCATCGCGCAGAATAATCACAGGAC